CACGGATTTCTTTAAAGTACAATCGGCCGTGCGCATGAATAAGTTCGAAATGTTGTCAACGTAATTCTTTTCCCTCTTATTGCAGTTCCTCTATTTTTTTTCCAGAAAAATTCCTTCCCTAGTGAGCTACTCTTTTCAACGTTACCACACGATTTGCGAGCAATGTTTCCCGCGGCGAGTTTTACCGATCGAAATAAGACCGTCGTCGTTGAGATTTCCGATCTGACATAAATTGGACCGAAGGAGAAGTACATGTAAAAACCGGCCATTAATTATAGTTACAAGAAAGTTTTGAGCAAAAATGTTTGCAAAAAATAATTTAATTTAAAATGTTTAATTTCTTGTGCATCATAAATTAGTACTCGTAAATTTATATTTTATAATTTACATCGCGCGCATCATTGTGTGTGCTGGACATTCGTCAGTTGAGTTTTTAATGTTTTTTTGTCTCATAGAGAAATAATATTCGTTATCACAATATTTATAAAAGACAGATTATTTTTAACGTCCAAAATGTATAAGAAATATATATGATTAAAGATTTTTAAAAGTAAAACTTTAGTTGTCCCGGAAAATAAAAAAAAAGAAAATAATGTAATTAAAAAAAATGTTTTATGGCTGTTATCTGTAAAACGGTTGCAATTTTTATTAGAGTGTCATCATTTTGGGATAATATAAATCACTGATATATTATTTATGAAAGACGAGAAACATTCCGAACACTGACATTTATCCGATCGACAAAAATATTCTGTCTTTTTGATAACGAGTGAAAGATGTAAATAAGAATAGATGTTCATAATAAAAATGAATTACTATTTATATGAATCTCTAATTGAGAAACGATTATAATGCGGTCAGTTTGAAGTCTATAGTACTAAAGGAATGAAAGGATCATTTTTCTCTTAATTATATATTTTTCAGAATGAGCCAAAGTTCTTAAAATCTTAAAGAAGTGTATTCTTTCATTTTTGTGCAAATGACCGCTATAAGTTATATAACAATTAACATTATAAGTTATAACAATTAAAAAACACGCGGAGCAAGAATGAAGTAATAGAAAAATGAAGTAATCATCAAGTTCTTCTTTACATGCGGTAAACTGTTTATGAAGATAGTACACTTTGATCAATCTAAAAGTGAAGATTTTTTTGAGTTTGGATTACAAAAAAAACTTAATAAGTGCGATCCTCTTTTGGCACTTTATTAATACATATATTGAACTTGTTATACTGGAAATTTTATTGAAAAATATTAAATGTGATTTTGCGTATACAGGTAAACAGTGTACATAATTCCGCTATTTTGGTTATTCTGAAATTAAAAAATCGAAATAGTTTCATAAATTATAATATACTCCCTATCGTCCGAACTTTTTTCATTTTTTTGAAGAATGACAGAAATATACATGTTTCAATTTTTGACACATCTTTTTGACATTATAAATGTTATTGTATCATGGAAACTAAAAATGTTATCAACAAAATTGTCGGTCAGACGAAAACTACTATTTCTTGTATATACACTGTAAAAAAAGATGGAGGAATTTAACTCGAATTGAGGTAAACCAACTCAATCTCAGAGTTCAATACGGCGAACTAACTGTCGGATTACACCAAGAAAAACTTCCTTTAATATCTTCCTTGTGTTAAATAAACATTAAATTTAGTTCTATAAAATATTTAAGTAGTTGACTAAACTATTATTGATAGTAATGGAACATAATTGTATCGTCAATTAAAATAATTTTATGAGCGCGATGAAATAAATCTGCAATAGAATAGATTGATTTTAACATTTGATTGGACTATTTCTACAAAGTAACGAGAACTCAATAAATTATTGATAAAAACAATTTTGAGATAATCTCTACTTTATCTTCGAGTGAAGTAGATTTAATAATTTATCTAATAGGACAATTCATAAAACTTATTCGATCTCGTTATTTTGTAAAATGATTTAATTGATAATTAAAACCTTCTATTATATAGATCGATTGAACTGCCTTGAAAAAAATGTTTGCCGCCACGATATGGCAAGAAGTGTATGAAAAGATCATTTGACCATCCTCGCTTTATACAAGTAGACGTCGAATCTTTCTTACGAGTACACGCGCTATCTGTTAATAACTCCACAAAACGCTCCCTCGTTCTAAATCAAAATGGTAAGTAGACGTCGAATCTTTCTTACGAGTACACGCGCTATCTGTTAATAACTCCACAAAACGCTCGTTCTAAATCAAAGTGGAGAGTATCGTTAATATTTTATTAAATTCCTATTACTTTCAAGTCGTGTTACTTTTACGAGTACATTATATTCATGTTCATTTACTACCAATAATGGTTCATTCAACTTTATAAATACGCTTATGATTATGTCGTCCCATAATTGAATTACGTAAATAATTAGTTTAATTTATTTTTCTGTATGATTGATTTGATCTCCATGAAGAGGCAGATGTATTAGAATTACGCAGTTAAATCACCCTTGTAGTAGTTGAATAAATTTCGAATATTATTACATTAACCTTATTTCAGATCGGTTAATCATATACTTTGATTAAATTTTTGAGTTCAATTAACTATGTGAAGTTATTTATCTAACTTGTGTAATTATATTTCTAACTAGACTTTTATTCTTCTTGACTTGATTATACTTCACTTAACTCAAATCGCGCAACCCTCAGATTTAGTTGTGTCGATTCTGAGTATTTTTTACAGTGTATATTTCAAATTGCAAAGTCAATCCGTCAATTGTAGCTTGAGAAATCATGTACACTTGCAAAATATGATTTCAAGAAAAATGCGTTTAAAGTTTTCCGCGTTTTCTTCGTGACTGATTAAGCACGTGATAACTGATTATTTCCATATGATTCCTTCCATGTTTTGTATTCTTTTGTACGTATATTTTGGCTTCAATATCCACATTGTTTGCAGCGCTTGAATCGACTACCTACGTGTAGGTACGCGCGTCCACTTCAAGTGCTATAACTTGAAAAATAATTCAAGTATCTACTTAGGACTTTTTGTGTATTAATTGTAAGACTTCAAACTACATTTTAAACAAAAAAATAGTTCGACTTTTCAAAAGTTTCAAAGTGTACTGCGCCCTATAAGATTACGAATCGTGTACTTACTTTAGTTTCATTATCTATGATTTTCATCTCAAACTCACTTATTGTTTACTGAGCGACTTTACCATATCCAAAATGCTATTGCAAAAAGTTTCTACGAAACGTAATAAGAATATGTGATATTTTTGTTACAGACGCATGTGTGTATACGAAGGCATACGGATCGATGTTTCCGAGTATGACTCAATTAGATTAGCGTTAATGTCTAACAAGTTTGCTTGCGCTTTCTTCTTTTCGCCGCAAGAACAATAAAGATATTCTAAAAAGGGCACGTGGATAAGTATTAAAATTATTTCAACGTTAATAATAATACTCATAAATATTACGAACGGCCACCGGAAGAGACCCCGCCATTCCCGGCGTTCAATATTTTCCCATTCGTCATCTTTTTTTTTTCTTCATAACTTCACATTTTATACGTAATGAACGAGAGAAAGAAAAGTAAAAATAATAAGAACAACAAAAACAACAATGAACAACAACCACGATTATATCGTCGTCGTTATTTCATCCTCGCGATATATATAAGTAGATTTTCTTTCGTCATAATAATTTAATGAGTCGTTTTATTAACGCGACGCCTTACGACGCGATTCCCCCCTTTCCTTTTCTTTTTTTTAATATTGTATATTGGAGAGAGTATAATATAATTGCGGTTTTCCTCAATATAATATAATATAATATACCTTCCTAAAAATACGGTCAAATCACTGCCGCGAGCAGCAATTCCGAGGCACTACGAACAGGCCACAGAGAATATGGCCGCGCAATTATCATCTTCAGATCTCTGTGTCTCTAAATGACAAAAGACTAACTGTAGAACACCTAATACGTACGTAATCGTAATTATACTAACGTATCTCGTCGTCTAAGTTTTAGACTCATTACGTAATGTACAATAATTAGAGAGATCACACACGTCTTAATATAGAAATTTTAAAAGATTATCTTCTAATACGTTGAAGCTTTCTTCCCCCTCTTTTCTCCCATTTTTTTGCTCTTCACTTAAGTATTGCCACGAATTGTTTTTCTTTTTCTTTTCCTTTCCTTTTTCCCCCCCCTTTTTTTTTAAAAAAGAGTGATGATGATAATTCTCCGAGATGTGAGCGGACCCCGTGCGAGCGCGGTCCTTCAAAGTCTTTTCTTTACTTTGAGCTACGCTATCGTCTACGCTACTTAAACGTTAACTTCTACGGTGTCTCAGCCTTCTTCCACGTTCCCTCCTCTTGTTTTTCGTACTTGCTTATCTAGTTTCTTTTATCAGCACCAATCTGATTTTAAAACCGATTCAAAATATCGTCATATAGTTAGAATATAATATAACCTGTATAAATATACATTCAAATATTACTATAGTATACAAGAATTGCACCCTCCCCCTCCCCCACCATCTTCTTCCGTTTCTTTTCCCCTTCGTGCTATCGCGGATCATCGTCGTCGTCGCGACTCGATCTACTGAAAGCTATGGCTCAGCACAGTGGGAGGATGCATCGTTCTCGTAAATTCTACCTATAATCTCTCGTATCTTCCTCTTTTCTGCTCGTCATATCTCCCCTCCCCCGCCTTCCCGCCCCAACTCCTATATCGTCTTTCTCCTACCCTCTCATTCAGTCGTACCTTTTATTATTTTTTTTTTTTTCGTCTCATTCACACCCAGTCTCATTCGCACACGCTCGCATACTTCACTTTTCTCCGTCGTTCCTTCTCGTTCTTCTTCTTTTGTTTGGAGTGAACGGCTTTACATACATATTTACAGGTATTCTTCTCGTGGTCATGTAAGCGCTCCCTTCAAGAAGCAAAATCTCTATCTCTCTCTCTACATATATATATATATATATGTGTGTATATACATATATATATATATATATACATATCGTTCTCACTCACTCACTCGCTCACTCATTCTTCCTTTCGTTCTCTTTCTCTCCCGCGAAACTTTTAAAACATAGGCAAGTTAAATATTGTATCACAATCGTTTTAGTCTGGTCGAAATCGAACATCTTCAACCCGTTTGGCGATACGTGGCATTTTGAACGGTGAGCGGTGACGCCCCGGGCGGCGCATGCACCATCTCGCGAGAAGAAGATAGATGGATTCAGAGGGATTCGCGGGAACTCTCTTGTCAATCTCTCTGAATTCACCTATGCCTCGCGGAGTAAGCCCCGAACTCTCGTGCTACTCGCTTGTCCACGAAAGAAACGCGAGAAGGTACGTCGTAATCGATTAATTATAAAAAATACGTACGGAGGAATAGACGAGACTCTTCGTTGATTACTTTACCTTGGTCTGTCTAGTAAGAAACTCGACGGTGAGCGGCGGCCGCTTTTCCGAGCTTTTCTGTGTCCCCCTTACGTTGTTTGTCCTTCGTGCGAATTCGACGACTTGGAGATGCGGATCGCAGCGAGAAGTGGTATTTGCGTGTGTGCTGGCGGATTAACTAGACTGTGTCATCGGTGTGCGCCAACAATAACGAAGAATTAATCTTGGGATCCCTAAAGGGGTCGATCTAATCTGATGTGCTGCTGAAAAGTCGAAAATAACGGACGATCGCGAGGAAGTAACAAACATTTGATCGCGATCACGTACATAAAGAAGAAAATGTATATCACGAACTTACTATGAGTGTCGCGAGACACCGTTTGATACCTGAGCAACTATAATCGCATTATCGTTTGTTACTTACGGTTGCGACCGTGTAACGATAGCGATAATCCTAACTAGGATTGTCGTCTTTTCGCGATATACGTATAACGGCATATTCGATGAATGTCACAGGGGAGTGACCCAGTCCGCGTATCTTCCTTGCTTTTCAAACAACGCAAAAATCCAAGACGTTTCAAACAAGAGTATCCGAATTTATATCCCCGAAATTTATATCTCTCCTCTCTCTGTTTATATCATAGCCGGTGCGCTACGATTCAGACAGAAAAGCGGTTTTCTCTCGGAGATAATTTTATCCGACAATCAACCAGAGACGTAGCGACCGGATAATACACATTTTCGCAATGTTTCTCGGATAATCGCGTAATGCGGTCTGCACGACGAAACCGTTCTCACCGTCGAGCTCAAGACTAGCTGGGCGACGTGTTCTGAGGTTCTGCTGAGCAGCGATGGAACAAGAAGAGCGAGCGAGTTGTGAAACGACGAAAATAAAGAAGACTCTAGTAAATGCACAATGATAAATGTCACGGGTAGTGTTGCTGGATCGGCTGCTGGCCGCATCGAGAGGCGGCGGCGGCGGCGGCGGCGATGGCGTTTGACGTTGCGTCGGCCTCCAACGCGGCGGGACCGAAACAGCGCTGAAACCTCAGCGCGGGGATTCCTGCTTGCTAGTAGGCGGCAGGATGGACGGTTAGTCACTGTGGCGGCAGACCGGTCGGTGGCTTGAATTCGCCGGTCACGGAGACGCCGTTCGCCTGGGCGCCGGGGAACTGCGCGGTGGAGACTGGCGGCTGATGATTGAACGCGGGCGCGTAACACTGCGGGAAGTAAAGCTCCGGCTTGACGACCGTCGGCGTGAGGCCGCGAGGCACGGGTACCGGACCCAAGCCCGCTGGCGTGCCAGGCGGTTTCGTGTCACCGCTCGAATTCCGGCGCACTTTCGCCGCATGCGGATTCATGTGGTTGTCGATGTGTTTCTTCACCTCGGGCTCGGTGGCGAACCGCCGCCTGCAGTTCGGCATCGGACAACAGAATGGCCGATCGCCCTGGTGAGTGCGCGTATGCTGGTCCAGGATCGCTTTTTGACGGAAGTCCTTGCCACACTGCTGGCACTTGTACGGTTTCTCACCGGTATGGATACGCAGATGCTGATTGAGAATCGTGCGTTGGCGGAAATTACGTCCACAATACACACAGCCGTACGGCTTCTCGTTCGTGTGAATGCGCAGATGCTGCGTGAGATGGGACTGTTGCCGGAATCGCTTGCCGCATTCCGGACAAGGATACGGCCGCGACTCGATGTGTATACACCCGTGTTGCAGTAACGTGGACTTTTGCTTGAACTCTTTTTGACAAATCGGACAACGCACGTACAACGGCATGCCGGCCGAGCGGCCATGCTGTATCACGTCGGGTAGACAGCTTTTCGTGCCACCCTGCTTGATGTACTGCAAGGCACCAAAGCTGCCCGAGCCACCTGCGCCAAATACCGCGTGATTACCGCCCTTTGGATCTTTGAAGTATGCTGGGTACTGGATGGAATTGGCGTCCGGCGCCGGACTGAACGCGCCCGACTGCGTGTCCGTGTCGCCGAACGTCGATGCCACTTCTTCCTTACCCTCTTCAGGCGGAAAGGGAACGTCCTGCGGCCAGAGAGTCGGCGTCATTCCGTTCTTGAAGATGAGGTGTGGACTCACGTCTGTAACGAGAGAACGGTCCACGGTTCATCGGCGGTATTCCATGGTGGATGGGTAAGAGGAACGTTAGTAGCCCGGATTACGGTTTACCGATACAGGACAAAATCTATCTACATGCCAACTGTAGCACGAATTAAGTGCGACCTCGTAGATATTCGCTCAAATTCAGTGAAAACATCCAGACAACACAAATGTTAAAAAAGTTTCAGTTTAATCAGATATATATCCTGATAGATTCGAAGCGTTTGCATGTCTTTTGAACTTTTGTGTTGTTTGGGAAATTACCGTAAACCAATTTATCGCGGTTCCCATTGAAAGTTGTTAGTAGTGGTTGTATACGGGAAAAAATGTTAGATAAAATAGTTATCCGTAGTAGGCCGATGTCCACTTTAACGGAGAAACACGCGAGGAGCTAGAGTTATTAAAGGGCAGTTGGATTAGTTATTGAATGACAGTCGGATCATATAGAAAGAGGAGACGGGGACTGCTCTATCTCACTGCTCTATCACCAGCGCTGTCGCGTCCAGCTCAACCGTTCTTACCCGCCGGTTGGCCTTAGCTTCAACGAGGCCGATGGATACTGGTACTCGTCATCGTTAGTTGTGGAAGCTTTTGAAAGAAAGAAAAGCGCGTTCCGGCAAGCTGGTGAGGGATATAGTTGATACAGACCAGTCGTGAATTTACCCCTATTATTTCGAGATATATCGTATTGTCAATACGTTTGTAACTGTTTGTTCTTTCTAGAACTGTAAATCCACCACTGGTGCAGATGGACAGGCGAGAATCGAGATGAATCGTTAGTATGCGGGTTATTGTACCGCCGGCGGTAATGAACGTGATGATTATAATGACGACGATGGCGATGATGCCGATGGTGACGGTGACGATGGTGGTTGCGATAGTAATGAGTGAGAACCGGTGGGTGGGTCAGTGTTTGGTTGTGGTGGACGCCCTCTGGGGAGTCTGGGAGGCAGAGAGAAATGCTCGCCTTGGTGTGTGCGGACGTGCTGATTCAGGATCGCCTTCTGACGGAAGTGTTTTCCGCACTCCGGACATTGGTATGGCTTCTCACCCGAGTGGATGCGCAGATGCTGGTTGAGGATGGCACGCTGCCGGAACGTACGCTCGCAGTATACGCAAGCGTACGGCTTCTCGTTAGCATGTATGCGCAGATGCTGCGTGAGATGGGATTGCTGACGGAACCGCTTGCCGCACTCCGGACATCCGTACGGCCGGCTGTCTGTGTGGATCCGCTCGTGCTGCAGCAGAGTCGATTTCTGCTTAAAGTCTTTGCCGCAGGTCAAGCACTTGAACAGACGTAGATCGCTGTTACCGGCCTTGGAGGATTTACCGCTCTGCTGTACGATGTCAGGCAGCCCGGTCGCCATGTTCGGCGCGCCCGGACTCGCGTACTGATGCGCGTCCAGACCAGGCCCGCCGTCGCCTTGGCCGAGAGACGTCAGCATTACTCCGGGTTGCTTGAGATAGTGCAGCGCGGAGAAGCCGCCGGGCGTAAGCATATGCGGTGGCACGGACGGTGAGGGGTGCGGCCGGGCTTCTTTAAAATAATGCTGCGGATATTGCTGCAGCTCTCCGGCGCCGGGAAAGCAGTCGCTGCGATCCACCTCTGCGTGAGGAG